GAAGCTTTAGATCCTGACTTCACGTGAATCTGAACGCTGAATCCCAGTGACCATTGTCCAATACTAAAAACATGAAACCTAAGACAGAAACTGTAACTCGATTTAATATTGGTTAAGCTTCCTCAACTTAAACATAGCTTAATTGAAGAGATTATATTCGTGATTAAAAGGAAAAGATGTTAGAAAACATAGAATTGAAACATAGGCCATACCAGTCACCTGGAAAACGTAGGCAATGTGCAGTGTTTGCCTTTCCCTTAATCATCTTGTCAACTTAGGCATAAAAGATTTAGAATAGTAAATCAGGGGTGCTTTTGTACCATAACAATTTCTAAAATGTACATATATTTCCCTATGAGATTTAAGGGAACTTACAAAAATTCCCACATGAGGTAGGCATCCGACGCTTTGCCCCGCAAGGACAACATATAGGCTAAACAGATTTAATACGACACAGACAAGAATGAATCAATAACTTACCTGAGTGCTCTGAATGAAAATAGTAGAAGCTCTTCTCAAATTGGTACCTGAGTGCTCTGAATTATATGCCCACTTTCGTCTCTTAGCCTACAAGACAGAATCAAGTCGACTACTGTGGATCAAATGGTTTGGGGTGGTGTGGAAAAGAAGCTAAAAATGGGTTTACCTTACCTCTCACATATGTGTACCACTCTGGCGCTAGCATCTGGCTCACATTTGCGAGTTCTGACATAAAATTCTTCGGGTTTATATGGAACATCCTGAGCATATTGGGGTTAAACACATTAAACATGTACCACACAGAGATTAGATATATGGAATCAAAATCATAAGTGGGAATTACACGAATGTATGTTAGCTCATACAAAACATAAGCGGCTGATTTGCTGACAGTGAGAACAGGGGGCGTTCGCAAGGTTTGCATCTTATTGGTGGAGTTCTCTTCCACCTCTACTATTTCTGCTATAATGGAGGCCTCGCCCCCACTCTGCAACATGAAAATCTTCTTTACAAACTATTAAAAAACCCCATAAATTAACCCAATAAAAAGATGATGAGACTTATGTAAGCGTCTTACAGAACCGCTAGGAACGGCCATGTTTAGGACAATTTTCTTGGTGCAGTTGAGGCTGTCGGAGGCAGAATTCCGCTCGCACTTCTCAAGTTTCGACTTGGAGAGGATTTGAACTCCGGCAACGTCATGAGTTGCCAGAAAATTCAGAAGCCATAACGCAAGGAGATTGCAGTTACCCATTATTTGGCTGTCTGAACTTGTGATCCTCCTGTTTTTGAATTCTGAAATAATGAGAAGAAGGGGCGGTTCATGGCAGTTTTATAACTTCCATCAACGTGATTAAGTATATATAGAGCTCAGTTTTGAGGCCAGGACAAAGCCCAAGGGCCCAGATTCGTTAAAACCCAAAACAGATAAGACTAACCCCAGCTCAATATCTAAAAGCAAAACGGGCCCATTTTCAGGACCAGGACTAAGCCCAGGCCTAATTATTTAAGCCCACTTTCGTTAAAACCCAATATATTTAAGTCCAATGGCCTATATGCAAGACCAGTACTAAGCCCATCAAATTCATTAAAACCCAACAGATCAGACTAAGCCCAGCCCAATATGTTTAAGCCCCAATGGACCAACTTTTGTAAAATTACAAAACAGATAATTCTAAGCTCAGCCCAATCGGCCTAGTTTCCCCCCCGACCATGACTAAGCCCGACCCAATATATAACCCCAACTTGTTAAAACCCAAACAGATCGAACTTAGCTCAGCCGAATCTCTATAAGCCCAAATGAACCCAGTTTCGAGCCCAGGACTAAGCCTAGCCCAATCTATCAGCCCAATATGCTCACTTTCGTTAAAACCCAAAACAGATAAGAGGAAGCCCAGTCTAATTTCTTTTAGCCCAATGGGCCCATTTTAGAGCCCTGTCCATAAGCCCCAATCGGCCTAGTTTCCCGACAATGACTAAGCCCGGCCCAATATATAAGCCCAACTCGTTAAAACCCAACACAGATCGGACTAACACAGCTCAATATCTATAAGCACCAATGGACCCAGTTTCGAGCACAGGACTAAGCCTAGTCGAATAGGCTCACTTTCGTTAAAACCCGAAACAGATAAGAGGAAGCGCAGCCTAATTTCTTTTAGCTTAATGGGCCCAGTTTAGAGCCCTGGCCAATATAAGCCCAATAGGCGCACATTCGTTAAAATCCCAAAAGCAGAGCAGACAAAGCCCAGCGCAATATCCATTTTCGAGTCCATGACTAAGCCCAGACCAATAAGTAAAAGCTCAATGGGCCCACTTTCTTAATAAAACCCAAAAGAGATCAGACCAAGCTTAGCCCAATATGTACAACCCAAATGGGCCAAGTTTCGTCAAAACCCAAAACAGGAAAAGCAAAAATGAAATTCGGAAGCCTTTCTCTATCAGAGCCAGGTTTCGATCCTGGGACCTGTGGGTTATGGGCCCACCACGCTTCCGCTGCGCCACTCTGATTTGTTGATTACATGGTTTATAGTAGTTGTATATAAAGATAACTCTTAGAACTTAGAAATTTGAAAAATTCGTTGAATTTCAAGTATTTGTTTATAAATCGAAACAACTGAGAATAAAATCAAATCCATTTTTCACCTTCAATTATTTATTTATATTATATAGTTTATATTGCTTTGTTCTTGCTTCATAAAATATATATTATTAAAAAAATAATTAAAATATGTATTTTTTTTAATTTTCTTAATACCTCAAAAACTCCGATCAACTTGATCCAACTTATGCTGTTTGATTTGGTTTGTGTTTTAATAAATAAAAATTTTGTGCATTGAATTGATTCATGAGTTTTATTCAAACAAAATTGGGTTACATAAAAAAAAATAACCCAATTTTAGCCTAAAATTAAATTGATATACAAGATCAACTAGATAAATTAAAGTAAATGCTCACACATTTATTTAGTCACTAAAATCATATTTTAAAATTTGGGTAAATATATAATTAAATTTTGTCGATATTATTAATATTCTTTTATTGATTTTGATCACATTTACATCTACGGGGTGTTTGGATTTTATCATACGATACTTGTCTATATATTTATTATAATGCCAAAATGCTAGCCTGAGTAGGACACATTTAATTCATCCATGCATTTAAAATATTGTTTTTATCTTATTATATGATATAATTTCATTTATTTAAACTCATATCATATTATATGGTATGATATATATATATATATATATATAATGAGAATCGATTTAAATCGGGGCTAAGACATTTTTAGAAAATTTATGTCGTAAAATTCAAATTAATAATTATATAAATTTAAATCATAAATTTAATACTGTGAATCAATTTATTTCCATTTAAAGTCAGTTTAAAATGATGTAATTAAAATTATTGTTGTTTCAAAATTCTATTAAAATAGTAAGAAAATTATCATATAATTATTATGATAGAAAAAATACAATAAGATACCAAATATATCCTTAAAAAGATATTATTTATTTAATTTCAGCATTTTTATATAATATTTTATGATATGTTGAGATAAATTAAACGAAATAAATATTAAATAATGATGAGATTAGCGAAATTATTTTAATTTTTTATAAATGTTTCAAAATAAAAATATTCTAACTCCCATGTTTCCAAATATGTTGGAAGGCTAATTAATATGTTAATTAATATCAAGATAAATGGACTCACAAAATAAATATTTTAAAAATTCAAAACAAAAAATAAACAAATTTTGTCACGTAAAGATGCGTACTCACGGTATTAAATTTTATTTTTGTTATATAAAACAACTCTCCAGTTTGAGAGAGAAATCTCTCATGGATTTGCTTTTGGGTTTTTTCAAAATATCTCATATCAATGGAAATAATATTCTTTTGTTATAAATCCATGATCATTCTCTAAATTAGCGGATGTGAAACTTTCATCCAATACCTTCCCTCGAACAAAATATGCCTCCCCTTAACGTTAACTCCTTTTCTTTTGGAGTCTTAGTCATTTTTTACTATGCCTACTCCTTTTCTTTTGGAGTCATTTGTTCGACATTTAAGGATTCTATTGACATGGCTAAGCTAGGATATGATCATGCATTTTAAAAACCTTGAACAAAAGCCCGAAAAGGAAAGCACAAAGTGGATAATATCATACCATTATGGAGAGTTGTGTTCATCTAACATAATATTAAAGTCATGCCCTAAACTTAGCCATGTCAATAGCATTCTCGAATGTCGAACAAAGGACTCCAAAAGAAAAAGGAGTCGAGCCTCAATTAAGGGGAGGCGTACTTTGTTCGAGGGGAGGTGTTGGATGAAAGTCTCAATCCATGAATATTATGTCCATTGATATGAGGTATTTTGGGAAAGCCTCAAACCAAAGCCACAAGAGCTTAGGCTCAAAGTGAAAAATATCATACCTACCATTATGAAGAGTCATGTACATCTAATATAGTATCAGAGTCATTCTTCTAACGCCGGTAACTTATCAACTCTTTCTTTATGTATTATGTATTAGAATTTTATTGGTTGGGATTGACAGAGAATATTTATGGATGAGGTATGTATTTAAGTAAAAACGAATTTGGAAGAAACAATAACTGACCTTTCACATTTTTTTTTTCACTTGTTGTCTCCTTCATAACATGTAAGACCGTGAATGCGGCAACACAAGGTTGGTTGGGTTCAACTAGTTTATGATATTCATAAGGGTGTTGTTTTGTTTGTCAATATTGAAGTCACCTGGTGTGGCTGCCTGGATCGATGTTGTCGTTTTGGATCTTCCTCTCTTGTCATCATAGGTAACGACATCAAAGGTTATTGAAACACGAGTCTATTTAAGGATTAAATTAATGCAATAAAAAGAAGGTATTTTCAATTGTGATAAAAGGTGTGGAAAACAAAATAGGGAACGTGGGAGGTTGTACAGTCACCGACGGGGCCAAAATGGCTTCGGCTGTTCCCACCTTCCCTTACCTTTTTCTCCTTTTCCATATTTATTATTTATAAGTTCTTCTTCTTCTTCTTCTTCTTCTCCATCGTCCATTTCTTCTCTCAAAAACCCACCCACTGCAACCACCTCCGCCGCAGCTCCGACCACCAAAACCCATAATTCATAACCCCCAAATGGGCAAGGCCTTCAAATGGTTCCGTGGCCTTCTGGGTCTCAAAAAACCCGACCCACCGTTCACACCTTCTCCTTCTAAGCGCAAGCACAAGTCCTTCAAAGACAAGAACAAGCTCCGCCACCGTGACGCCCTCACCCCCTCCCTCGCCGTCGTCAAGCTGCCCAGCAACGGACAGACCGTGCCCATCACGGCGGTTCACACCCTCACCTTCCACGAGGCCGACTTTGCCGCCACCAAAATTCAGGCTGCATTTCGTGGATTTCTGGTTTGAAATTATTCTACCATTTCATTCTCTTTTATTTTGTTTAGAATCTCAATTAATTAACTTACATTATCCTTTCTCATTGGGATTACCAAAATGAATCCTTTTTTTATTTTTTGTTTCAATCTTAGCTGTTGGGTGTGATCCACACTCATATCCACTCTCCCACAAGTCGCATCTCAAATCAAATCAAATAATTAAAATTAATTGGAATTTTGAAACATGAAAGTTTCTTCTGGACGGCGTCGTTTCTAAGTAAAAACGCCGTCGTTTACCCCTAACCTTATAGAAACCTCCCTTCAGTTTTGCTACCTGTACCTTCAAATCCCTTCCAACCTCCCTTCAATTTATTTATTTGAAAATTCTGTAAAAGTAAAAAATAAAAGTAAAATCCATTTTGAAAGTTCCCTCTTTTCTTCATTTGGATCTAAGGGAGAAGCCTTTCTCTTCTTCCTTTCCAGCTTTGATGAAAACATGGTCTATTTCAAGAAAAAAAAATGTGATTTTTATGGTAAATAACTTACCTTTTACCTTTTTTACACTAACCCAACTGAAAATATCAAGGATTATAGGGACCCATTTGAGATATAGCAATAATTGAGGGTTCAACCTTAATCAAAACGGCCTACTACTAGTAGATATTTTCATCTTCGTTCCATTGTTTGGTTGTTGTTGTGCATGGTTTTATGAAGGCAAGGAAGGCATTGAGGGCACTAAGAGGGTTGGTGAGACTTCAGGCATTGGTTCGAGGCCATATCGAGAGGAAGCGGACGGCTGAATGGATACAACGAATGCAGGCGTTGCTAAGAGCACAAACACGGGCACGAGCGGGCTGGAGTCGATCGGCTTCTGAGTTGTTGCATTCAGATATCAAATTTTCTAGCTTCTCGTCGCCTGCAGCAACTAATCCATTTTCCTGTGAAACACAGTCCTTTAGTCCATTTGAATTCCTTCATGAAGTTGAGGAAAGCTCTTTCTTTCCTGGTACGAGTACAAAGAAAAACCCCGTCACCCCGACCAGTACGAGGAGCTATTTCATTGGCGACTCGGAATATCCGAGCTACATGGCCTGCACTGAATCCTCAAGAGCCAAAATGAGATCTCATAGCGTTCCGAGACAGCATCCTCAATATGAGAGATCGAGCTCCGCTAAGCGGAGTTCTATATACGTTGTTGAGGAATCGAGATCAAGTGAACTGCAGGTATCAAGATTACAATCAAATTTTGTTGGCAAAGCCTACCTTGGTTCTGGTCTACTGGACAAACATGGTATGCCTGTGAGTTACAGATACTGATGCCATCCTTATCTTGCTAACTGATATTGCTAGTCCTAATAATAATTGGTGTGTCGATGTCGATCGAATTCGAACTTTGAGACTCGGGGACGGTCGAGTTTATATCTCTAGAACTAGATATACATCATTGTTCTTAGAAATTTTCATGTTAGTAGGTTCTATCTATTAGCATGGTAATGTATATTCTTTTGTTCTCTACCTGCCTTGGTTTTTCTCTTACTGACCCCGAAAAGTGACTCGACGACGGCCATTCGATCTGCCTCGATTTGCCAAAAGTTTTAGAACAAACACAAAATACCAAAAGAATGTATAAAAAACCTCATCAAGAATGGCTAATTTGCACAGTCCCATTTTGAAGTTGGCACACAGCTTAGGTAATGGCACCAGCTGCAGTGCTTGTTTCCACTGTCCCCCTTGAATAGCATAGCCAGCCCCATCGTAAAGCTGTGCAACACACAACAAACTGAATTAGTTAACTCGATTCGAACATGTTGTAAACGGGATACAGGAAGCAACATAGAATCCAATGCTATCTTGTTGAAAGTAAAAAGTTGTAAAAGCTCAAGCGTATTGTCTATTTTGGCCCGTTACGTATCGTCGTCAGCCTCACAATTTTAAAACGTATATGCTAAGGAGATGTTTCCACATCCTTATAAGAAGTATTTCGTTCCCCTCTCCAACCGATGTGGGATCTCACAATCCACCTCCCTTGGGGTCATGTCCTAACTGGCACAATACCCGATGCCTAACTCTGATATCATTTATAACAGCTCAAGCACACCGCTAGTAGATATTATCTGTTTTGGCCTATTACGTATCGCTTGAGTCTCATGGTTTTAAACGTCTGTTTTGGGATCTAACATGAGTGGTACTAAATGAGCAAAAGGCAAGAGTTTTGAGGTTTTACCCAGCAACTAGTAGACTTGCAGCAGCCAGCCAGAGAATATACTGGTAAATTTTATACTTGGATACACGACGAGTACACGGTGGGAGATGGTGGCGCTCGGCCCATTTGAACTGCGGTCGTATAAGCAACACAAACCCGAGAAGTAATCCTGTTAAGAATCCTCCAATGTGGGAGAAGTTGTCCACATGAGGCAGCACACCAACTGCCAAGTTAATTACTACGATCACAATGAGGGTGAAGAGTGAAGCAGCCTATAAAAACACATCACACCAAAAAGTAAATATACAAAGCTATTACAAACACAAATAATTAATGTCGGATTCAATGTCTGGAAGCTAACCTTGTTGGAGTAGATTGTCCAGTTCACTAAAAGCTCGGATAGCATAGCTCCGAGAAGTCCAAAGAGGGCACCCGAAGCACCCACAGAAATATTGTTTTGGATGAACAGGGAAGACATTACGCTCCCGCCAACTCCAGTAACAAGATATATTATCCCGATTTTCACTGCAAGAATGAATCAGGCACGAAACGCAAATGAAAAATAAAACTACGCTCCAAAGTTGTAACTGTCAAAGCCTACAGTACTAGATATTGTCGTCTTCGTGTTTAAACGTATCTAGTAGGGAGAAGTTTCCACACTCTTATAAGAATGATTCATTCTCCTTTTCAACCGACGTGGGATCTCACAATCCACCCCTTCGGACCCAACGTCCTCGTTGTTGCTCGTTCCCTTCTCTAATCAATATATAACAAGCTACATAATAATCAGAAGGGCCATACCAAATCCAAATTGTTGCTCAAGGCGGATCCCAATCAAAGCCAAACTCAACATATTTGCAAGAAGATGAATGATTCCAGCGTGCAACCAGATGCAGGACATAAGTCTCCATACTTGATGCTGACGAACAATCTTATCCCATTGCAAAGCTCCCAATTTCAACAGTCTTTAGAGAAAATCAATGAAATTAAGAGGAACGAAGGATCAAACCAAAACAGAGCAGATGGAGATGAAATAAAGGGGGTAAAAACAGAGCAGCAGCAGAGACATACGTATTTGAAGAGGGACCCAAGAGGGGATTCTCCTTGAAAGGCTGCAACGAAAACCGCCCAAGAAAAGTGGCCACACACTTATCTCCAAAACCCAGATTGGAAGTGGGGCAATTATTGACGTACATGATCATAATGAACATAGCAATATTAGCCACAACAAACATAGGAACCAACCATGGCGTCCATTGCTTCTCACAAGTCTCCATGTAGTAAGGAGAAGAAGAATAGCTCGCACTCGAGTCACTACGTTCCAGTTCTTGATTCGACATCGTTCTCTTTAGCCCACAAAAACACTCTGTTCGCTCTTCTCTGTGTAAGTAGCAGTCCGTGAATCAGTTGGAGCTGGAATAGCCGAGCTCTGTGAGTTATTTCATGGTGACTATTGGGGGAGGAATTTACGATTACACCCCTCACTTGAGATGGAATAATCACAGAAAGCGGAATTTATTCTGGAAAAAGGTGCTTTGATTTTGCAATAACACGTTTTGAGACCTCATTTTTTTTTAATGGAAAATTGCTTTAATTATTTTCCATATATATAGTCAATATAAGAAATTTTATATATTTAAAACATGATAATTTGATATTTTATTCACTAAATTATCTCAATTATTATAAAATATTTATTTTATTCTCATACAAAAAAGGGGAGAGGGCATTTATGGTAATTGATAAACGAATGGAAGTCAAATACCATGGAGAACATAACGTAGGTGGTGGGGGTTCGTTATTTTCACACGCACCAATAACGCGCTTTATATTTTATAATTATTTATTCTTTAACTGTTTTTTAAAAAATAAAATTACAAGTTTTTTTTTAATGTCATTTTTTAGAAAAATATATATACAAATTGAATGGTAAATTAAGTCTTTAAAAATGAATAAATAAATATTTTACTAATTAATATTTTATTCCCTTTCTTAAATTTCTCTACTCACCTATTCTCTATCTCAGTTTACCATAAAAAGTTCCCTCAAACATTAAGCAATAGTTAGCAGCTACTTGATCAAATTCCCTCTAAGTTTTTTCAGGCTTACGTAGAACCATCGATGAAAGAAAGATCACTGTTTGAAAAAACTATTACGTTAAGTTGAATTTCTAAATTTCTCGTTTTCATCAACTTTCATTAATTTGATACAATTCTCTTGATTTAGATGGAAGAATAATATCAAAGTTGGTCTATGAATTCTAGAAAAATTCATATTAGATTCATTATAAAAACAAAACGTCGAAACTTGACCAAAAGTTGGCATAACCAATGAACTAGAGAGAAATCGCGGCACGAAAAAAAAACTGAAAAAGAATAGTTGTCCTAGCCTAAATTTGAACCTGAGGATTGACAAGCATCCCATCCGAGCCATAGAACTCATCCCAAACCTAGCCAAGCTCAGAAGTTCAAACGACCCCACTAGACAAAGATAGATAAGAGTATCGTGTATTGACTCAACCAAAGTTTACAACAAGACATTTCACGTATTTTAATGTATACAATCCGGAGTTTTAAGTCCCATCGACTTAGAGTCCCTCACTTGTCACCAACCATGTAAATTCGGGCACCACAATAGCAAGAATGACTGTACAAATAAAATCGGTAAGAAGACATCAATCTCACGTGTCTAACTTACCGGTTTCTTCGTAGTAATAACCTAAACTCACCATCTTAGGTTAAATTTAGAAATTAGGTTGAATATTGTATGATATATTTTTCCATTCAAACATTATTGTTTTACATTTTTTTAATAAAAATGATGTATTTAGCTTCGTTTAACTAAATATTTTTTTAAGAATATACTTATACAACATAAGGCCATCTCCAACCACTCCAACCATACTTATACAACTTAAAGTTAAATTTATCTTCTACTTTAATTTGTTGGAGTTAATAACTTAAAAGATTGAAATTAAAATTGGAGAGACTAGGAAGTAACAATTACAAAATACCCATTGTCATTCTTCCAGGGGTTTTCCGTCATTTTACTCGTTCACCAACCGACCCAGCCCGGTTCATTTTCCACGGTTTCGTCTTCTACAAGGACCGACCGACCAACCACCCAACCTAAGCCCATCCCCAAAAGCTCAAGAAAGAAAATTATAAAATCAAACAAATAAATATTTCTAATTTGTATATTTTCCAGCTCGCGTGTCCGGCACGTGATATTCTTCGTCCGGTCAGGACCCGATTCTGGTCTCCCCTCGTCTCTGAATCTCTAAATCTTTTTCCCATTCATGACCTCTGACGACGACGCGGTTTAATGTCAGGAGCATTGAGTTCCGAGTTCAAGCCATGGCAACGCGGATCCATCTGGATTTTCAGAGTTCTCATCCAACGGCTCAGCATTGATCGCCCACAAGGTCTCACCTTCGTCCGACAGTACGTGATTCTGTCCCACCATCGCTTCTACTTCTTCCTCTTCCTCTTCCTCCTCTTCTTCTTCTTCCTCCTCTCTCCTGCGCTTCACTCCGATTGAAACTCCAAACAGTTTCGGCGCCGTTCGCTTCGCCGGCGATGCCGTCGTTGTCTCCTCAACCTTCAGTCTCACCTCCTGAACCCCGTCGCTGACGGCGCCGTCGTCTTTCATCGCCTGTCTCGCTGGCAAGAGCTCCAGCGCCTTCATGTCTCGGACGCTCACCGACTGCAATTGGTGGTGGTGGCCTGAAGCGTAATTTGTCATCAACGATAGTATGTTGTTACAGAGCCCTTTCAATTGAGTCAACTCGTGACTCAGTTGCATGTTCTCCTTTCTCAACCGCTCGTTCTCCCCCACAAGTTCCGGCGTGGTGCTGCAGCTCGTACCTCGCTGAAATGCCATCGGCGATGAGTTCGAGGATGTCACCTGCTCTTCCGCAGAGTTCGATGGCGATATCACATGAGCCACCACTGATGGAGACGCCGCAACTAACACCGGCCCAGATACGGCCGTCGTCGTCGTCGCTGAAGACAACGTCCCTTTCCGCCGCTGAATGTCTCGGAGAAGTCCTTTCTCACCTCTCCGGAAACAATCATTCGCAAATTCCCATCGGTCCGGCACAACCTTTCGAAATCCCTAAGCCGTATTATAAAGAACAATAAGACGGAAAATTCCAGAAACAAACAATCATTGTTCCAAAAGAGAGAAAAATTGGGAAACAGTTGAAACGGCAGAAACTTACGTAAGTGTTAAGCTGACGAACGAAACTAGAAAAATTATTATGTTTAAAGTATTTGGGAAGTAAATCTCGAGCGAATTCGGCAGGTCGCCAAACTATGAAGGTAGATCCGTCATCGTTCCACGAGATGAAGTCGTCGACAGCCGAATCATCAACCAACTGATAAGTTTTCGTAAGAAACGGCGTCGGAATAGATCTCTGAGAATCCCCTGATCCAGACTCGACGATCGGTTCCGCCGTCGACGGAGCCATCTCCTCTTCTCCCAGATCTAAATCGTAAGGATCTCCGATTCAGGAAAACTCTGGCCTCAATCTGATCAGTTAAACCTCCCTCCGGATTAGAATCCGAAGAAACAAAAAAACACACTAAAAAGAAGAAATAGTCAAAATCGGGCAATGGAGCAATAGTTGTTCAACAGTTACTCGAAGAACTCGAAGAACTCAGAATCCAGAGATGATAAAACACCCAGTGTCCTTGTACAAAGAATTGAAGTTGAATGATATAAAAAACACAGAAATAGACGTCAAATCAATCGAGTTAAAAGTTTCCATAGTAATTACCCCGGGAAGATTGTAGAGAATCAGAATCAGAGGAGTAAAAACACCGCCGTGCCTGAAAATGCACCTCCGTCACTGCAGCTGCAGAAGCTCAGCATAGAGAGAGAGAGAGAAGTTTTGTTGTTTCTAGAAGTTTCTGGGTAAGCAAAAGAATATGATAAAGGAAGAGAAGGGAGGTTCGAGAAGGAAAGGGGAGATTTAAAAAATAAAAATAAAAAATAAAAAAATGGAGGTGGGGACCACAACAGAAGGGATAGGGATAGGAAGGTACCAGAAGCTTGGGATGTCTCATTATCCCTCGTGGATTTTCTTATTTCTTTCTTTATTTATTTATTTACCCTTTTTCGTTTGGGCCGTTTTGTGGGCTTAGAGTCGAACTATTGGCCCATTTATGAAACCTGACCCATTGAGCTAAATTAATATATTCTCTAATTTTACACTTCCCTTTGAATTCCATTGTTCTCGGTAGATATGAAAATTGATTTTTCATTTATAAATTTTGCAAGTTGGTCCCCATTATAATTTATGAATATTTACCATTAGACCCTTTTACACGAAGATGTACTTTAGAAAAGTTGGTCGAAGACAAAGACTCATGTGACAAATTTCAAGAAGGATATTCAAAATTTTGTCTTTTATTAAATAAAATAAAAAAACTTTTTAATGAAAATTAGAATCTGAATTTAATATATCATTGTATCAATCTCAATTTCTCTGTCAAGCCATCACCAAAACGAAGCACGGTGCGCGGACCTCTCTCTAACAAATGCATTTTAAAACCGTGAGCGTAATGGACCAAAATGGACAATATTTACTAGCAATGAACTTGAATTGTTACATATACTATGACAACTTTTAACACAAAGAGCAGAGCCGAGAAGTACTGCAAATAATCGAGCCCAATTGTTTCTCTTTCTAATACAATAAAATAAGCATAAGAGAAGATATCCAAACATACATGTCTACAAGGGACAACATTCAGTTTGTCTGACCAATAGATACATGGTTATAAGAATGACAAGCCGCATCACAGCAACATTTTGAAGTAAATTCTCATAACCATTTCAGAAACTCAAACAGAAGAAACCAGTAGAGGAGGGGATAAATACCCATTAAAGTATATATTGAATAATGATGAACCAAAGATGTGGTGTGAGAGGCTTAAGAACTTGAACGCCAAAGCAGGTAAGAACTCTTCCTTGTAAGCTTTTTATTCAATACCTATGCATTATGTATGGAAGTACATTTACTTTTTAAGCTTTCTTCTGGTAGCCCCATGGATTGTTGTTTGCCCAATTCCATTGGTCCCTGCACATTTCATCTACGCCATATTTTGCCCTGAAATCACAGCACCAAGCAAAAACCAAACCCAAATGAACAATGTGTTTCGAGGAGGCTGCCTTGACAAAGACTAGATTGAGTTACTTACGTCCAACCGAGTTCTTGCTTGGCTTTCTCCGTTGACGCATACACCGCCGTTGCATCACCAGGCCTTCTCGGGCATAGTTTTACAGGGATTTTCTGGACGATAAAAACAATCAACACAAGATTTTGTATAATTCTTAA